AAAGAAAAGAAATTTAAGCCTGTGAGTTTTACGACGTTTTTCAAGTGTGGGTATACTGTCTTCTTTCATAAGGTTTGTGGGGGAATCAGTTCTTCGGTACTGGGAGTAAATAAAACGGACAGCTTTGCGTTGGATTAGTTCGAGAGCCTCAATGTTTCTTTTTGTGTATGGGTCCCAGAGAGTTGAGGCATATTCCAATGAGGAGCGTCTAACAGTCAAATAAGTTAGTTTCTTTACAGTAGAAGGAGCATTTTTTAGTTTGTGTCTCAAAAGACTGAGTTTACGGAAAGACGATGAGGAGGAGGGAAGAACTTTATTCAGAGTCCGGCGAGTAGATGGGGTGGGCGATTGGCCCCGCCTAGGTTACAGCCTGGAGTCCTAAAATCCTGGCGGCTTCCTCGGCCAGCTGGACGGCTGACATTTGGTTTTCGAGGATGGAGCTGAGCATTGCGGCTTCCCAGCGCGCACGAAGGCTGTCAGCAGAGGCCGCATACTTGTTATGAGTATTAATCTATTTACATTCCCATAACATTTGCTCCAGAGTGGCTCTGGAGCCACAACACTTGCACCTGTCCGTTTTGTATATATCAGGATATATAATAGGCAATAGTGCAAGATTCGGATACGTCCTAGTTTGTAACTGCCGCCATTCGACACACTGTCTTTTTGTTAATTTTGGGTGAGGGGGCGAGAATATGCCCCTCTGTAATCTAAAATGTTTTGTAATTTCATTGTATCTGGTCATTCTGTCTTCCCACTCCCACTCGTCTGCCACGCCGTAATCACCGGAGGAGGCTAGGGCGGCACTTGAGAGGGCAGTTCGGTCGGTGAGCCCTCGAGCTGCGTCATGTACAGCCCTGTTTTTGCTGTCCACCGCGATGGCATGAGCAGATGTCCATATAATGTATGCATTTCTGGGGATTGTTCGACACCCTCCTTGTAGAATACGTAGTGCCTCCGGGGAGATGCGGCCGTTGGCAAAGTTTCTCACTGCCGTTTGAGAGTCACTGACTATCACGGTTGCGTTTGTCTGAGCTACAGCGAGCGCTATGGCTACCTCTTCCGCTGTCTCGGTACTTGTGGTGCGCATCGTCGCGCATGTCGTACAGCGTTTGTTGCTATCGATTACGGCTGCTTTAAACCCTCGTCTGCATTTGTATCGAGCAGTGTCTACGAAAACTGCGTCCTTGTCATTACCAAACTATTTTTGTATTTGTTTTGCTCGTGTCTCTCGTCTGGCCTTATTGTGTTCGGGGTGCATGCTTTTTGGCAAGGGTGGTATCATCATTGTTTCCCTGGTCTCTTTTGGGATGTCCTCCTTGACGCCGTGTTGCGTGTGATACGTTATGCCTAGTCGCTCTATAATATGTATTCCTGCTCGTGTCTCAGAGAGACGTTCATATTACGCCGTACACTGCGCCTCAATAAGCTCATCAATGGTATTGTGCAGGCTTAGCTGTAACAGTTTGTCAGTTCTTGTGCTAATCGGTAGGCCTATAGCTAGTTTGAATATTTTTCGAATGAAGCAGTCTAGCTTGATCTTTTCCGCGACTTGCCATTTTAAGTACGGTGCTACGTATACTATTCTGCTTATCACGAATGCCTGTATCAACCTTATCGTGTTTTCTTCCATCATGCCACTCTGCTTAGTTGCTATCCTTTTTATGAGTCTCATTATTTGGGCTACAGTTGCATCCAGTCGCCTGAGGATTTCCCCATTGATGCCCTTGGCTTCGATGAGCAGACACAGTACCCTGATTCTGTCGACTATGGGTATGGTTTTTCCATCCATGTGTTCAGTCCATTGTGTCTTTCTACACTGTAGTGCACCAAAACTCCTATCATTGTTTCACGAGTACATTCAAAGACCAAAACCATCGCCAAAGTCTTTGACTCTCCCCATTTTTGTTATGAAGGTGCATAATCATCTCTTTCGAGTTGACGTGTGGTAAAACAAACATTTTTAACTCTCACACGCCCTTCTGTGATCAGCATCTGCAAAGAGCTTCAAAGTTCATGTTAGCTGAACGTAACAAAGAAAAGTTTTATCAGTACCTTTTACTTTCTATTTGTTGGTCTGCATTTACTAGTCAGTTTTTTCTCTTGTTTATAAAAAGAGTGTGCTCACTATCACTTCTTCACATGAGTGATGTACTTGATGACTAAAGGACATTCACAGTAATACCATGAAAGAACATATGTGATAAAGTCTGTGTGCCCCTGTGTGGTGAGATTGTTGTTATGCGAGGTGAGAAGAAAAAGTGAGTAGAAACTACTCTGGGCAAATTGTAATAGCTTGAGAAAGCTGTATGTGTCGCAATTATGTCTACTTTATCTCAGAATAACGATACGCCAATAAAGCTTTCTCCTAAGGTTTGTTTTTGCATCTTGCAGTTTCATTGAATGTTACAATTGTATCGTGCTCTCAAAATTTTCCCTCCTCTTCTTTTTTATTTTTAAGTAGACCACAGCACCCCATCGGATGATAAAAGGGATGACCTTGGCCCTCCATGCTGCAAGTTTTTCTGTAGTGCAAACAAGATTCATTCACATGGATGAGACAATAAAAAAAGGTATAGCGAATTTCAACAATGCACCGGTGTCTATACTCATTTTATTTATTTATTTATTTATTTGCAAAATACTGCTAGCCTAAAAAAGGCTGTAAGCAGGAGTGGGAATACAAAGATGATATATATACATACTGCGCAAAAGAAAGCGATAACGGCATGCTTCACACTAGGTACTCTTCTACAGCAATAATATCATCAGTTATATCGATCATCACAACAGTAGGTAACTACACTGTAACCATTATATTCTAAATGCCAGTAATACATACATGGAATAAAAGAATATATGTATTTCCTTACATATAAGGTGACGATACATAAAAGTAGAAACACACAAGTGAACATATACAAAGAAGATTAGTAAACTCGTACATTTACACAGTCGTCAAATGAGCCTGAAGTGTTGAAATGAAATCTGCTGTGGTCATGCGTTCCACGACATCGGCTGGGAGCTCGTTCCATTCCCTTACTGTTCGTGGGAAAAATGTGTTGTGAAATACATCTGTTCGGCAGTTATAGTCTCGTAGTTTTTTTGAGTGATGAGAACGTGTGATTCGCTTACTTACAGGTTGAATGAAATGATCCCTTTCTATTCCTATTTTATTATGATAAATTTTGTATAGGTACCCTAGTCTTTCCGTGTGGCGTCGTAATTCCAGGGGTTCCAATTCAGCCCTTTCCACTAACGTACTTGCCGATGTCCGCCAGCTGTACATATTAAAAATAAAGCGTACCGATTTTCTTTGAACACTTTCCAAGTGGACAATGTTCCTTTTCGTGTGAGGGTCCCATACTATCGATGCGTATTCGATTATTGGTCGGATAAACGTTTTATAGGCTAGTAGCTTCATATCTTGAGGAGCTTGGCGCAAAGTTCGTCTTAAGTATCCTAGTTTAGTTACTGCTTTTTTCTTTATGTAAGAAATGTGCTCATTCCACCGAAGATCCGATGTGAGTATGACACCTAGGTATTTAAAAGATTTTACTTTGGATAATACGCTTCCATTTAAGCTGTAGCTAAGCTGTAGCGGTGAATTCTTTCTAGTTATCCTCATGAGAACGGTCTTTTGGGGGTTAATTTTCATTTGCCAGGTTTCACACCATTTCTCAACGTGCTGAAGAGCTTCTTTTAGTTGGACGTGGTCATGAAGGTTGTCAATTCTGTGATAAATTACGCAGTCATCTGCGAATAGTTTAATTTTGACCGGTACCTGGTCAACTATGTCATTTATAAATATTAGGAAGAATAACGGCCCCAACACCGACCCTTGTGGAACGCCCGACCCGACAGCTGCAGGAGTTGAGCAAACATTATCAATTGAAACACATTGCTGTCTGTGGCGCAAGTAGGCCTCTATCCACGATACTAATGCAGTATTCTTTAGAATTGCCCTAACCTTTATTATTAGTTTTGAATGCGAAACACAATCAAAAGCTTTTGGAAATCCAAAAAAATCACGTCTATTTGAGATTGAGCATCAATAGCAGCAGCAAAATCATGCACGGTTTCAAGGAGTGCCGTCACTGTAGATTTACCTTTGCGAAAACCATGTTGCCTATTATCAATAAGGTTGTTCTTTTCCAGAAACGACGATATGTGCGCGAAAATTATGTGCTCTAGCGTCTTTGAGCAGGAGCACAGTAGGGAGATTGGCCTGTAACAAGTTACTTGGCGCGAGTCCCCACCTTTCGGTATCGGAATAATTTTACTGTACTTCCATTCTGTTGGTAGTTGAGCTTCTGAGAGCGATTTTTTAAATATTAAACATAAGTACTTGGAGCACCATTCAGCGTACCTGACTAAAAAGGTGTTGGGTATGCCGTCAATTCCAGGAGTTTTCTTTGTGTCCAATTTTAACAACAGTGACAGCACACCTTCTTCGGACACAAAAATATCACTTATAGACGGAGCATCTTTTGCAGGAATGAAAGATGGGTCACTAGCATCATCCTGTACAAATACGGAGCAGAAAAAGCGGTTAAAAGTCGATGCTAATTGTAGTTTATCCGACACGTTGCCACCGTTCACAGTAAGGTTTAACTGCGATTTTTGCTTTGAGGAAAAATGTCTCCAGAATTTAGCCGGAGCCGTGTAGAGAAAGTTTTTTAATGTCACGTTGAAGTAGTAATTTTTAGCTTCAGCGATACTGTCCCTAAGAGCCAAGCGTATGGCACACAGTTTCGATACATTCGCAGGAGAGGGGCGTTGCCGGCACGTTTTTCTTATCCTTTTCGCTTTGCGCTCAAGGCGAACAACTTCCTTAGTAAGCCATGGTTTTGAAAATTTTTTTATGCTTTTACTTTTCATAGGGACAAAATCTTTGATACACTTAAGAACGAGATTTTTGAAAAATAGCCATAACTCATCGATACTGCAATCACTTGATTGATAGAAAGAAAGAAAATTTGAGAACGATTCATCAATAGCAGCAGCAAAATCATGCACGGTTTCAAGGAGTGCCGTCACTGTAGATTTACCTTTGCGAAAACCATGTTGCCTATTATCAATAAGGTTGTTCTTTTCCAGAAACGACGATATGTGCGCGAAAATTATGTGCTCTAGCGTCTTTGAGCAGGAGCACAGTAGGGAGATTGGCCTGTAACAAGTTACTTGGCGCGAGTCCCCACCTTTCGGTATCGGAATAATTTTACTGTACTTCCATTCTGTTGGTAGTTGAGCTTCTGAGAGCGATTTTTTAAATATTAAACATAAGTACTTGGAGCACCATTCAGCGTACCTGACTAAAAAGGTGTTGGGTATGCCGTCAATTCCAGGAGTTTTCTTTGTGTCCAATTTTAACAACAGTGACAGCACACCTTCTTCGGACACAAAAATATCACTTATAGACGGAGCATCTTTTGCAGGAATGAAAGATGGGTCACTAGCATCATCCTGTACAAATACGGAGCAGAAAAAGCGGTTAAAAGTCGATGCTAATTGTAGTTTATCCGACACGTTGCCACCGTTCACAGTAAGGTTTAACTGCGATTTTTGCTTTGAGGAAAAATGTCTCCAGAATTTAGCCGGAGCCGTGTAGAGAAAGTTTTTTAATGTCACGTTGAAGTAGTAATTTTTAGCTTCAGCGATACTGTCCCTAAGAGCCAAGCGTATGGCACACAGTTTCGATACATTCGCAGGAGAGGGGCGTTGCCGGCACGTTTTTCTTATCCTTTTCGCTTTGCGCTCAAGGCGAACAACTTCCTTAGTAAGCCATGGTTTTGAAAATTTTTTTATGCTTTTACTTTTCATAGGGACAAAATCTTTGATACACTTAAGAACGAGATTTTTGAAAAATAGCCATAACTCATCGATACTGCAATCACTTGATTGATAGAAAGAAAGAAAATTTGAGAACGATTCATCCATTGCATCCAAAATGCCCACGTCATTTGCACGTGCGAAAACCGGGACAACACGCACTTCGTTTTTCTTTTTAGGCACATGGCCAAGATTCAGTGTCAATGTAATCAACTTATGATCCGATATTTCATCGAGAACGGCAACTACGGGTTCTTTACTAAGCAGGTTTCTGCTAACGAGAAAAAGGTCTAGGATAGAATTCGCTGAGTTGCTGATGCGAGTTGGCTCTTTGACTAACTGAGAAAGGTTATGAAAGAAAACTAGATCAGTTAACTGTTCTGCAACAGTGCTAAGAGGCTCCGGAATTTCGTTACTCCAATCAATGGATGGCAGATTGAAGTCACCAGCTATCAAAAAATTATTGATGTGGACGACGTTGTCACATAAGAATTGGTTTAGTTTCTCGAAGAATGTACTGTTGTCATTTGGGGGGCGGTAAAATCCACCTACTACTAAGCTGCATTCATTCAGGCATATTTTAGCGATGACACATTCAACACCAGCTATAGGGGAAAGTCTGTTTATATGTAACGTATCTTGGTAAAGAATGGCAACTCCTCCCCCTCGGGAGCTTCTATCATTACGAAGGATAGCGTAGCCTGGCGGGACGATTTCAGAATCGGATATGTCATTGTGCAACCAAGTTTCCGTAATTACGACTACCTGAGGTTTATACGAGAGAATAACACTTTCCAGCACGTCAACTTTATTCACAATACTGCGAGCATTAAACTGGAGGCAAAGGAATGGTTTATTAACGACCGCTGGTCACTGTTCGTTTCTAGTATTCTTGCGCTGAACAAGAACTCTCATTTTTTGGCTGTCATCCCATTCAAAAAGATTGTTTTCAATTTTAATTTTATCGTGAATCAGCTTAACTTTTTTACCAGACTTTCTGATGTCAGTTGTGCTCTCCCACAGGTTTCTTCGTTTCTGTCTAGTGCACGCGGAAAAATCCTCTGCTATAGAAGTTCGCTGTCCTTTTAACTTATAGCCGTTTTTCAAAACATTAATCTTTTCGCGGTAGTCAAATAACTTTAGGATTACAGGCCGAGGTTTGCGACTATGACTACGGCCTATCCTATGAATCCTTTCGATAGACGTTATTTTTGTGCCTAGTACCTCTTCGAAAATACCTTTCACAACGCTTTGCTCAAGGTCTGCTTGTGTTTCATTCTGTTTTTCTGGAACGCCGAACACCAAAAGGTTGTTTCTTCTCCCGCGGTCCTCAAGGTCGACTAACTTTTTTTCCATGTCCTTCACTTTCTTGTCCAGAAGGTGGGTGACTGAGGAGACCTCTTTAATAAGAGAGGCTGTCGAGTCGACAACCTTAAATTTCTGTTCAATTTCATCGAGCCTTTTCTGTATCACCTTTTGCCCCGCTAGAATCTCAGTGAGCAATTCTTCGGTGGTAGGACCTGGGTTTGATTCTATATCACCGCAAAGAATCAACAAAGCACATGCGAAATCCTGCACAAACATAGCTATAGCACTGAAACACTCTGGGCATGTCAGCTGGATAAAACAGCGGTTACTGGATTTACAGGAAGACGCAGTGTTACAGACCTGCATGTAGAACAGGAACGGATTAGTTGCCATGTTGACCGTTGGCCAGCTGACACACCCACTGAAGGAAGCCGTGCGACGAGGTACATTTAAAGCCGGGTCCGGTGACGTAGACCGCGCTGCACGTGACTTGATCCCATCTTCAGTGTAGTTTAGCGAAAACCATACGCTGTCGCAGCATGCCGCCGTGGTTTCATCGGTAATGTTCGTTGTTGCTTGAGATGCGCTGGCTTTGGTCACCCCAGCAAAAAGTAGAATCTGCATGTAGAACAGGAACGGATTAGTTGCCATGTTGACCGTTGGCCAGCTGACACACCCACTGAAGGAAGCCGTGCGACGGGGTACATTTAAAGCCGGGTCCGGTGACGTAGACCGCGCTGCACGTGACTTGATCCCATCTTCAGTGTAGTTTAGCGAAAACCATACGCTGTCGCAGCATGCCGCCGTGGTTTCATCGGTAATGTTCGTTGTTGCTTGAGATGCGCTGGCTTTGGTCACCCCAGCAAAAAGTAGAATCTGCATGTAGAACAGGAACGGATTAGTTGCCATGTTGACCGTTGGCCAGCTGACACACCCACTGAAGGAAGCCGTGCGACGAGGTACATTTAAAGCCGGGTCCGGTGACGTAGACCGCGCTGCACGTGACTTGATCCCATCTTCAGTGTAGTTTAGCGAAAACCATACGCTGTCGCAGCATGCCGCCGTGGTTTCATCGGTAATGTTCGTTGTTGCTTGAGATGCGCTGGCTTTGGTCACCCCAGCAAAAAGTAGAATCTGCATGTAGAACAGGAACGGATTAGTTGCCATGTTGACCGTTGGCCAGCTGACACACCCATTTACTGAAAAAGCAGCATTCTGCCATGAGGTCTAAAGTGAATTGTGACCAACAATACGTCAACTCTTCCACTTCTTCATTTGTTTTTGTTTCAAATATTCTATCAAGCCGATATATGCTTCCAAGTTGGTGTATGTTCTTAGCCCCGACTAGATGAAGGCATCCGATGAGGCTTGTCCAACATAAGAGAGATGGAGGCACCTGAACTGCAAAAGGCTGTCAAAAAGAAAACAGTTTATTTACATTGAATGCGCGTTTCATATAGCCCACTGTAACAGTGCTCAGACGTCAAAGTGACAGGAAAAGTCATTAATATATTAACTTCTCATGGTCACGAGCTTCAACCTGGAACTAGATAGAAGTACGATGTCTAAATATGAGTTGACCACCTGACGACAAGTGGCTTGACCAATTATGTGTGAGAAAACTGTACAGAACAGATAAACTTGATTGCAGTATGAGTGACATGGCAGGGGAGGGGAGGAGCCTTAATCGAGGGCCCCACTGGCCTTATCTGCCCGTTCAACACTTGCGCCTACCTTTTCTCCAACGTGTGTGTGAAGGTCGTTTCTGTGTGTGTCAAGTGTGGCGGATGCTTTGAGCAGCCCCAGCAAATGTAATAGAGTGTAAGACTTCCTCTGCAGTAGCAGCAGGAATTCAGATAGCACGTACAGAACATGGCGCGTAATTTTTTTAATGGGATAAACTCCAGTTTGAAATTTACTCCTGTTGATGACCTCCTCTTCTGTTAGGTATTTGTGGAGAAAGGCGTACACTTAGAGGGTAAAACACTGATGGGCAAGCAGGCCCTTCGAAAATGTTGGGTTGTGGCGGCTGCATTTCCGATGGAGGCGGAAATGTTGTAGGCCCGTGTACTCAGATTTCGGTGCACGTTAAAGAACCCCAGGTGGTCAAAATTTCCGGAGCCCTCCACTACGGCGTCTCTCATAATCATATGGTGGTTTTGGAACGTGAAACCCCACAAATCAATCAAATAAATCAATCAAATGTTGGGTTGCGATTACTTCGGTTACGTTCTTTCATCCCACAGTCAGCATGGCTTCCAGAAGGGCCTTTGCTGCGACACTCAACTGGCTCTCTTCATTAATGACATCAGTTCCAGCCTTTATACTAACACTCCCGTTGACACACTATTTTTGGACTTTGAAAAAGTTTTTGATAAAGTACCCCATAACCACCTATTCCTAAAGCTGTCTTGCCTAAACATTCATCATCTTGTTTTTCCCTGGATACATGCTTTTTTGTGTAACCGTCAGCAATTCGTCTACGTTAACGAACACTCCTCTTCTCTCACACCAGTTACATCCGGGGCTCCTCAGGGAGTGGTCATAGGACCCCTGCTCTTTCTCATATACATTAACGATCTTCCAACCAACATTTCTTCCGGGATACGATTGTTTGCAGACGACTGCGTGCTATACCGCCCTATTAACAATAATAACGATGTTTTATCTCTACAATCTGACCTCATTCAAATTTAAGATTGGTGTCGCAAGTGGCTTATGTCATTAGACGCATCGAAAACCTCTCTTCTCACTTTTTATCGAAAGAAGTCATACCCGGCTCACGATTATAAAATAAGTGGTTCTTTAATATCCCCTGTTAACACCTACAAGTACTTAAGAATTAACTTCACTCCTCACCTATCATGGCACACCCACATAACCAGCATAACAAATTCTGCTAATCGCGTTCTTGGTTTCCTGCGGCGTATTATTCGATTAGCACCCCCTCAGTCAAACGTCTAACGTACTGCTGCTTAATAAGGCTGAAGGTAAATATGCATGCGCCCTGTGGGACCCATACCAGTATAATCACTTTACCATGCTTGAATCAGTACAGAATCTTGCCGTACGTTTCATTTTCTTGGACTATTTCTATAACTCTAGCTCATCGAAACTCAAATCCCAAGCCAACCTTCCCAGCCTTGTATCACGCCGTCGAGTCACCGGCCTTTCTCTCTCGTTCATAAGTTCTTTCACAAGCCAACCCAAACCGATCTCATTGCTACCGCACACCGCAACTCAAGCCGCACCAACCACAAAAAGACCGTATACCTCCCTCAAGCCCACACTGTCTCCCATGCTTCCTCATTCTTCAACCAGACATCAAGGGACTGGAATGACCTTCCCACCAAGCCAGTGCTTCATTCTGACCAAGCCATCTTCAAACCCATTATAAAAGAGCTTTTTTGTAAATATGCCCACCCCTCATGTAAAATCCCTTCCTTTATGGGCCTTTGAGGTATCATAAATAACTAAATAAATAAATAAACTACTACAGCAATAAACCTTCGCCAGTGGTATGTTAAGTCCAAAGGCTTGAAGTTCCTTCTCCTGAGTCACTTCTCGCAGGATGCCCTAGAGAATCTTTAAGAGCCAAGTCCCCTGTTTCCAGAGCTGGAGAATTCAAGTACACGCTGAGACTCATTGTGCTTAGTTTTCTAAGCCAAGCAAGCATGACAGCTAAGACAGAAATGACTCTGTTTATTTACCAGATTTTTGAGCTCAATACCAGACTTTAGGGCTGAGCTAGATGATCTGAAATGCCTGCCATGTTTGAAAATCTTGAGCCAGAAGAGCAGGAATCGCTAGAGTACCTGGCAAGGTACATTTCCCGAAGCATCTCTAAGAAGTATGGGCTTTGTGACCTTTGCAAAGGCACGTTGACTGGAACTGACACTGCTCGGGCTGGCTTGCTTTTGCAGTTAAAGAATTACGTACCAAACAAGCAATCGTTATGCACACAATCAGCATCAGTCATGTACCTCTTGGAATGCACGGAGAGTTACTTTAGAAAAAGTGAAGAGTCACCAGTAGCAGGAAAACATCCGCTCAAGCACGTTGCCGACGTTATTTCAGCAATGAAACCTGCATTTTCATCCCTACCCGCATGCCGTAACATTGCTGATAAGTTTGTGCAGCAATGCTTGTTGTGTATACAGAGGTTTAGTTTGTGTAAAAAGAATGAACAAATGCAGAAGAAAGCAACACAGCAAGCAAAATGTGCATCAAAAAGTGTGGGAATGCGCGTAGCTGTTAGTAATATTAAGTAAGATCATTTTTCTGGTGTTTTGTAAGGTTTTCACCTGCGGGTTTTTTATCTGTATGACTAGTTCTGTTTGCACAATGGTCATACGAGAGCTATAAGTATTATTTGCTGCTGACAGCATTGCTTAGAGTTGTGCGAATTGCTTGGTATACTTTGTTCTGTGCATTTTTGTGTGTATAATCTGGCTTACTCTCAAACTAATGTAGCCACTTTAGTTTTTATAAGAAAGCTGAAGCTTCCATATTTTTGTCTGTTTAATTGATTTATTTTAAATTGCTAATTACTGTTGTAGTTTTATTTTTCACTACTTTATTTTTATAATTGGTACGTCACACAAGACTTTTTGATGCTATTTACTTCTGCGTAACAGGATTCTTTGGAGCTGTGTCATTTGCATATAGTTTTATTGGCGTGAACTTACATCTCCGTGGGCTGTTTTAAAACAAGATTCATAACCCATCTCAATGAGGCCATGGCACCAAATTCGCAAACTCCATTCATGCATTTCACGCTGAACAACACTTCTGAGAGCAAGCAGAAAATTATTGGCATAATTCGCTGTGACAGCAAATTTCTCTTTAATTTTTTTTTCAATTTATCATACAGTGACGTGTTACCACTGCGTGATGACGAAGTGCATACTCTGAGAAACCACTGGAAGCAACTCAGGTACCAAAAGCCTTTCTTGAAGACCATGCTTTTACCCACTGTACATAAATACAGTGATTGCAATAGCTGTAAATAGCTTGTCTATGATGCGTCATTGTTTTTAATGTACTTTCTTAGTGATTTGCTATGTCCTGTGCTACGCATTTGAGTGAATTGCCAACACAATTTAGGGGTGACACCCTCGATGCTTCATGCCAATATGGAAGTTGCTGCTTGTGAGAAGAGAGTTGCAGCAGCGTTTTGAAATTTCATAAAATGTAAGCTTAGAGTTCAGAATTGTTTGTGCATAATCAAACTGGGCTCTCTTCTCTGTTACAATCTTAGACTGAGAATAGAAGGGCTACAGAAACACGCCACCTTTAAAAGCACTTGCACAGCTTGGGGCAGATGTTCTGGATATTAAACTTTTTGTCGGGCTTAATGATTGCAAACTCTAGATAGATATGTGGGGTTTAACGTCCCAAAACCACTATATGATTATGAGAGACGCTAATGATTGCAAACTCTCTTTTGAGCTAAAGAACAAGAGAGCACACAAGCCGGCGGTGTTTTCTAAATCACTAATCAGTAACATCAGCAAATGCAAACTGTTTAGTGCTCACAACTGCATAGTACTGGGCACAATATACGAGAGTACTTATTCAATCTTAAGAGTTTGTTATTCATGTCCATGATCACTGAAGCATGAGGAGTTATTTATTGTACAGGTATTAACAGTGAGCTCTAGTAGGATATATGTAGTCAATGA